ATAGGGCTTCAATTATAATAATTTATAGATGTTTGTCATATACGAAAGAGAAGCAGTTAAATCAATACTGATAAATTTGCCTAAAATTATTTTATTTGCTAAAAAAATACTGAGAATTTATTCCTCCAAAAGACAGTTCTTTGAAAAACAGTTCTCATTCTTCATTTGTGACTGCTATTTTTTTTTTAATACTCAAAGAACTGTGGTTCTAAAACTTCCTTAGGACAAAATAGCTGCCAACTCTAAAAGACAAAATTATGGCAGAAAAAGAGAAACCACCACCATAATGACAAAAAAAAAATTCTACACTTCGCCAATAATTAATGTAAAGTCAAGTGCTAAGTTGACAACTTTATTTTTTTAATTCCCCAAATAATTTTTAAAGGTTTAACATTACCATAAGATTCATAACCAGGCCTGTAGAAACCATCAGTTATAAGGCAGAGGCAGTCTTTTGATTTGCTAACAACGAACAGATAATTCCTCTTAAGCAGATTAACTTAAAGTACATTTTCAAGGAAGTTAAAATCCCCTTCAATCAGGTTCTCAAATTTAATTACAAAAGTCAAACAATTTATTAATACTCATTCACGTGCAGCCACAAAACAGGCACAGAACTCTCAGGGGCCAGGAAACAAATCCAATCGATATTTACAAGAGTCACAGAGAAAACATTTTTTTTGCCATAACTTGATAAAACATCTAACTGGTCCTCTTAACTAGGATTCTTCCTTCTCTCTTCTTTGCTGCCCCCTATGTGGAAAATACATTTAACATTTTCTTCACTCACAGTAAGTATAATCATACTGTTTATTTTGCTATTTTTATATTAATAAAAGAAGTACAGATTAGAAAACCCGGCCTTTTAAAGGTATTTTATATGTATTCCTTTTGCTTTATTAGCCCTGTAGATACGTTACAAAAATACCTTTAAGCTGTAGCTACTTCTATAAAGTTAAAAAAATTATCTATTTAAAAATGGCAAAAGAGCTTGCTTAAAGAGTTTTGTTTGTTTTTGAGATGGAGTCTTGCTCTGTCGCCCAGGCACAATCTTGGCTCACTACAACCTCTGCCTCCCGGGTTCAAGCGATTCTCCTGCCTCACCCTCCCAAGTAGCTGGGATTACAGGCACCCGCCACTGCGCCCAGCTAATTTTTGTGTTTTTAATAAAGTCGAGGTTTCACCATCTTGTCCAGGCTGGTCTCAAACTCCTGACCCCATGATCCACCTGCCTCAACCTCCCAAAGTGTTGAGATTACAGGTGTGAGCCACCACGCCCAGCCAGAGTTTCTATGGTCGATCTTTTCCTTCTCTCTTTACTATATGAACTCACTGAGTAATTGCCCTACTTCCAATTTCATTCTGCCCATATAGAAATTGTGTGTCTATTCCCTGAAAAATACTAATTAAACTGCCAGAGGTAGCATCTCCAACAGTATCTTTTGGTCTTCAGTGTCAAAGGCCTCTGAACAAATGACCAGAAGGCTCAATCTAAAATAAATCTAAAATAGCCTTTGTCAGGATGCTAGCTTTGAACACTCACATTATGACTATGGCTCCCGCTTTCTATTTATCTGGGAAGCAAGAGAGAAACAACACAACTTTACAATCTTGCATGAATGCTAAAGGATAAATTAAAAGTGATAAATCACCAGGAGGCATAATCACCTCAAGAGTTCACTGATACTGTTTTTAAAAGGGGCTCCCTTTTAATTCAGTTCAGTCTGGATTCCAGTGTAAAGTTAAATAAAGGTTTTCAGACAAATACTGCAAAACTGCTAAAATACTACATTTTCCTTTTCCTTCATCTCCTTGGTCATGACACCACCATTTACTCTGTGTCAGCCACAGCAGAAGGAATTTCACATGGATTTTTAAATGTCATTTCCTAGCAATACTATGAAATTAAAAGCATTACTCAGTGAGGAAATGGGCTCAGAAAGGTCAAGTAATTTGTAAAAGGTCACATGAGTGGGAACTGGAAGAACCAGGGTTTGAACTCAGGAGCTTTGATTTCCTAGGCCTTGTTGGCTTTATCCATCAACAGATCATTCCTGGGGGAAGCCTTCGTCATTCTCTTTCTGACCTAATCCATGGAGAAATCTTTTGGAGCAGTGGTTTGCAACCTTGGCTGCATATTAATTATCATATATTTTTAAAATATATACGTATGGGCCCCACCCTCTGGAGATTCCAATTTAATAGGTCTGGGATAGGGCCCAATCATCAGTATCATTCAATACTGTAGCAATGATTAAAATAAACAATACATCTCCGCGCGGTGCTTAAATTCTAATGGTGCTTAGATTCTAGTAGAAGCCAATAGAATCTCCAGGTGATTCTAATGTGTGGCTCAGCCTGAGAACCAATGATCAAGACACCACTTATTGAGAGTTCTTTCTTCAAGACCTCCAAGTAAGCAACTCAACTGGCTCCTCCAAAGAGGATGGACAAGAGTCTAGCAACAGCCAGCATAAGACAGTGGAACCTGAGAGAGTTCCAGCGGTTAGAGGCAGTGGAGCACAACGGGAAATATATGGGCACTGGTGTCAGCTAGACCTGGACTCAAATTCCATCTCCTCTATTTATTAACTGTGTGACCTTGGGCCAATCACTTACCTTTGGTGGCTGTTCTGCAGATGCAATGAAATGATGTAAGTAAACCTCCAGGCATATAAAAATGCCCAATCAAAGGTAGTTGCAACTGTTGTTTTGGCTGGTTTTGTTATTGCTATTATAGTGGTAATGACTACTGCCAGCAGACATCAATAAAGAAAAAAAAACAAATTTTAAAGGCTTCCCTCATTTATTAGCCAAATATTTCCTACTTTTATTACTTACCATTTAATTTACAGCTATTTATATTTGCAATTAGCTTGGTAATCATATTTCTTACTCATGACAACTGGGTGAGGATGGTTAACATCATTATTCCCATTTGCTAGATGAGGCATCTTATTTATTTACTATGCCAGATGACTGAGTGAAGATAGTTAACATTATTATTCCCATTTTCTAGATGAGGAAAAGGCAACATCTTCCATCTACTCTCTGTAGTTTCTATGATCCTATGATTAAAGGCACCTGCAGTCATGTTCATTAGTTCCCTATGAAAAATGATATTCAACATAGATGTCAAGTGTAGGAAAGAAGAATTAACAAGCACTTGATAGCAACCCCAAAATAACATCTAAATAATCACTCATGAACATCAAATTCACCGCAAACAAGTTCCAATTTAAATAAAGGTGTTGGACAGGATTAGGGAAAAATGAACAAATACGTCTTCTTTATCTACCTTCATTTAGGGAAATGTCTGACGTAGCTTAGAAATTCTTTTTGAAACATAGACTGAAGAACTGTTAACTTCCTCTATGAAGGGTCTTCAGTTAGTAGGTTGCAAAAGATTGTGTCCTGATATTTTATCTTAAATTAGGGCTACAAAGTAGGAGAGATCCAAGATGGAAAGACCCAGTTCAGGGGTTCTCTAAAAAGGCCACCAGGAAGCCCGTGGACTCTGTGCAAGGGCCCATCACTCCAAAGACACCAAATACTCTCCCAACACTGAATAATGGCTTGCCCATAAATGTATCCCCTTTCATATGCATGAAATTTCCATGAATAAAAATATAAATGCCTCTAGAAACACTGCTGAATTTACAGTTATTATATATAACTACTATTGCATTGTGGAGAGGGGCTGAATTTTGTTATTGTTGTTAAAAGGAGACTTCATATTCGAAAAGCTTAGGAAACTCTACCCCAGTCCAAACATCTCTTTTTACTGACGTAGGTGGATCTTAGGGGCAGCTGGGACTCCAACGTAGGTTTTTTCACTCCCAGACAAATGTTTCTTGTTGCACACCATACATGCCTTCCAGTGCAGTTACAGACTCACGGGACGTTAACAGTCATGACTATATCCTCTCTCTAATATCATTTCCTCTTTCTAAAGCAGGAGAGTACAGTCCTACCCTCTCTCCGTGGATATGTTCCAGGAACTTTCTAAATCTCCTGAGCCTCTTCTTTCCCCTTTCTTCCCTCCCATCCTCAGTTTGGTAAGTTTAGGGTTAGCAATACACTCAACCCTTCTCAAGCCCAGATGCTCTGGAAGTGCCCTTTGACATTCAGTCTCAATATGAAATGGAAATACAATCACCGAGGTACTAAAACAAAGAATGTGTAAAGTATGTATAAAATCTGCATATATATGAGTGTATTTGTAGCTAAAACCCCACAAATATTTCCTAATACCTATGAAAAATAAGAAAGTGGAATACTCATGAATAATCATTTTATTTACCTGGATCTGTCAATACCAATGGGCTGTTAATAAACCCTTTGCACATCGACTTGTCAAAATGCTTTCCCATTTATGATTTCCCTTTCTCCTGATGACTCACTCTGATATAAGTGCTGCTGGAGTGTCGCTGGAACTGAAATTCCATGAAGAGAAGGAATTTATTTTATTCACTGTTCTTACTCCAGTGCCTAGAATAGCGTCTGGCACGTGGTGGGCATTCAATATTTGGTGACTGAGTGAATGACAGAAGCTGACCAGGATGGTAGTTTCTATTTGTTGATTGATTTTTTGACTTCTTCTTTGAGAAAATTAAATGAGTCTATAGGGGAATAATTGAGTTCCTAAACATTTATTCTTAAAGTCTTCATCCTCTTGTAACTTTAACATTCTTCCCTCAAATATTATTAATGTAATTTTTCTTTTTTCTTTTCTTTTTTTTTTTTTTTTTTTTGTTGAGATGGAGTCTCGCCCTGTCACCCAGGCTGGAGTGCAGTGGCACAATCTCAGCTCACTGCAGCCTCCGACTCCCAGGTTCAAGCAATTCTCCCGCCTCAGCCTCCCGAGTAGATGGGACTACAGGCACGCGCTGCCATGCCCAGCTAATTTTTCTATTTTTAGTAGAGACAGGTTTTCACCATGTTGGCCAAGATGGTCTTGATCTCCCGACCTCGTGATCTGCCTGCCTCAGCCTCCCAAAGTGCTGGGATTACAGGTGTGAGGCCACCACGCCCGGCCTTGTTAATGTAATTTTTCAAGGTTATATAAAGTAATTCATTCATTACAGGAAAATCAGATACTATCAATATATGGAAAGATGAAAATAAAAGGTCCTGGTGATCCCATCACCTTGGAACAACACAATTAACATGCTGATGTGTATCTTTTCAGACTTTTTTCTATGCAGTTCTACAAACACAAACACATACATATGAAACGTTCCCAAAAGTCTCTGCCCTAGACTTTGTGATTTTGGTTTTTTCCTTCTTCTCTAAACCCCTTTTCCTGACATAGCTCCTTGCCTTCCTTTTATGTCCTAAATCTATTCCTTCCCCAATATTTAGGTCCTATTTCAAAACGATTTTCCCCCCTTTGCCCTCCAAAGGATTCGTCTGTTCTTACAACTTTGAACTCTATGTGGATGTTGTCTATCGGATCTTCAGTCCTCCCTTTTCTCTGGGACACTAGTGCTACTCAAGCTCTACACATCTAACGCCCAATGCATCATGTTGCCTCCATCAAAACCAGATGATGCACTGATCCTATTTCCATTAACTACCACAGAATTCTACAAGGTATCCTCAATAGCCATCTTTGCTTCCCCAACCGCACCACATCCAACTAGTGAAAGCCTTTTACATCGCTCCTTCCTATTCTCTCTCACTCATCAATTCCCATGGTTGCCATCAGTGTTTAGGCCCTTGCACATATACTATTTTCTGCCTCTGTCTCCTTTTCTGTATAACAAAAACCCATCAATGCTACCCACTGCTTCAAGTTAACTTCCTAAAATCCCACTTGTTTCTTGCCCTTCCTAAATTCAAAAATTTGTGGTTGCTTCCTTCTCTTACAAAATGGGATTCCAGCCTCTTTGTAATCTCACCTCAAACTACTTTTCCACCCTATTTCTCATTATTCCTGAAAAGAAACCCTTTGCTCCAGTCAGGTTGGTGTACTCATTATTCACCCACCTCCAAAACATCTGACTGTCAGTTAAGTACTTATTAACCGTTTATTATGGGTAAAACCCATTCAATCATTCAACAAATATTTACTGAGCAGCTATTCCATCAGGTAATGTAATAATACTGCAGACACAGTGGTGAACAAGACAGATCAAGTCGCTGTCCTCCTGGAACTGAGGCAAAAGGGTGATGGGGGAGACTCTTAAGACATGGTGGTCCCAGCCCAGGATACTCGCAATCTTCCATTGAAATGTCAAATGAATCAAGACATCCTGAGGGCTGAACTTGGCCGTCCAGGATGCAAATGGGGAAAGACTTCAGAAGGAAGGGCTGGCTGGAGTGAGAGCTGGATTGTGGACATGGCTTCTCTGATGTGGGACTCAACCCGGGCACTCAAGGATGAGCACAGGAGAGAAGCAGGTGCCTTCCTTCCAGGGGTGTATGAGGAAAGGCAAAAAGGTGGAATGGAAACAACAGCAATAGTGTCAGCTTATTTTGCATAAGGGTTCACTCAACACCTATTCAGAGCACATCCTCCGCCCTTGCAGGGCCCCAGGCTCCGTGGTGGATGTGAAGGTAAGACAGACTCAGATCCTACTGTCAGGGGATTTCCATCTAGCAAGGAGAGAAGGCAGGTTCATGATGGTCTATCACACACAGACAGTGAGACGTTCCATAGAGAGCAGAGAGAACACGGAGGAAGTCTGGAAGGTGCACGTTTGGGTTTGTATTAACAGTACGTACAGCATCACATTTTTATGCATCTGCACCCACACGTGCATGTATTGAAAATAACTGTGTTTCAAAGTGCTTTCTCACTCACTTCCTCGTTTTGTACTAAGTGACTTGGGAATCAGGCAGAGTAGGTAAGATGATGTTTTCCAGAGGGGGCAAAGTGTGGCACAGATCTTGTAACTGATCTGCTTGGGTAGGGAACATAAACAGGCGCGAGTAGAACAAGAACACCCTGTCCGTCGCCGCCCACTCCTGCAGCAGAGCAAGTATCTAGAACTGAGGACGCACACTAAGTTCTGTAATCGCATGACACCTGGCAGGTACAATGAAGCCAGGAAGGCACTTCGGATTGAAAAGGGCAGGACGTAGACAGCATTCTGGAGAGGGAACGTGAGCCAAGGCCATTCCCCCATTTCCGTTTTACCTCCCCAAGTCCTGCCTGAATCATCCCCCACCCTTAGGTCTGCCCAAACCGCAACCATCCCTTAGAGTTCGCCCCAAATATTTTCAACCCACACTGGTTTTTTTCATTCCATTGATTTCACCCCTACTAATATCCCAGGGAAGGGCGAGTGGCCGTTTCTCTCCTGGACATCATAGCAGGATCGGCCAGCACACGGCTCGGCTCAGAGCAGGTAGTTAATAAACATGAGCCGAATGAAAGAATTCCTGAGATCGCCACAGCTCAGTAAGGATGCCCTGAGCCCCTACATCCCTCCCCCAACAGAGTAGGCCTGCCTGGCACGGGCGGCCTTAGCAACCCGGAGGAGCTCACTAACCGCGGAAAGCACAGGGGCACGTAGGGAGAGCGGGGTGGCCCAAGACGCTGGGCCACTGGGAGCCCAGCGCGCGACCCCAGCTGGAAGTCGGAGCTAAGGTTGCAGCGCTCCGGCAAAACGCGCTAGACGAGGTCGTTAAAAGATTTCCCCCTCTGGAAAATCGCCAGGGAAAAGTGGTGAAAAAGGAAGCCGGGAGGGCCCTAGTCTCGGGAGTCTATGAGGAGCCCAACCCACGGACCTAATCCCGCAGGGAGAAGAGCGAGGTAAGCTACCGCAGAAGCCAAGCCATTCCAGCTCCAAGGAAAGGGAGCGGTTTTTGCCGCAGGAAGAACCTAGGTCTGGAAGCCTCGCGAGATCTGGGGGTCGGGATCACGTTGCGTTGCCTAGCGACAGCAAGGACGCTCGTGGGACCCCCGGCTAAACCCCGCTGTAGCCTTAAATCTCCTACCATGGGGGAAGAAGGCGGCGGCGGCAGCTGTGGGACCACTAGGGAGCTGCAGAAGCTGAAGCAGCAGGCGATGGAGTACTACCGGGAGAACGACGTTCCGCGCAGGCTGGAAGAGCTGCTCAACTCCACCTTCTACCTCCAGCCTGCCGACGTCTACGGGCACCTGGTAGGGACCTGGAACAGGCGCTCTCCTCCCGCCAACCCCGCTCCCCCCGCCCCGCGCTGCGGCAACGCCTTGCGCCTGCGCTTCAGAATCTAGCATGCGTGCCGCCAGGGCCCTGGTCCTGCGTGTGCGGAGGAGACTCTGGGAGGGAAGGAGCGGGAAGGACACCGGGGGGTGAAGGCATCTCCGCAGAGAAAGTGGTGGAAAGGAGGCAACTGGAGGAAAGGGGGCTCTAGGCGGATTTGAGCTGCAGCGACAGCCCAGGGCCTGTCAGGCTTCTTCGCTACCTAAGGGGCCTCTCCGTTTGTGGGCCGGGCCACCGCCCATGCCTGCCAATTGTCATTTTTAACAGACCTTAATGCCCTCAGCTCAGCTTACCGACCTTGAGCAGCTCCTCTTTGACCACGGGATGAACACCTTGACCACAGGATGAACACAAGTTTGCTACAATTTGGCCTCAGCCTATTCTGGGGCCTCATCCTACTGGCTCCCCTGCCAGGATGCCCGTTAATATCTGACCCGCCCCGCCCCGAACTCCAAAATTCAGACCAAATCCTTGCCCACGTGGCCCTGGACCAACTGTCCTATAGGGTTCCTACAGCATTTCCTTCGTGTATTGTAGTCCATTGAGGCAGCCTCCCTAGGCAGCCTGTGAGCCCCTGCTGGGCTCAGGGGCCTTTTCTTACCACCTTCCGGGTCTCTGCCCAGCCGTGAGATCTGGCACATAGCTTAGCGTTAAGCAGTGAGCAGTTGAAACAGACGTTTTCTGCCCTCCAGATCTGTAAGTAGTAAGGAAGGCAGTGTGTTTGGGGCCCCTAGGAGTTTGCACTATGGCAAGGGAAAGCAAGGAGGCAATGTGAACACCAAGCAGAATGAATCCTATGAAGAAACAGATGTGCTGTCAGGGTGCAAAACCACGTCGTGTTGAGGCAGTTGATACAAAGGATGTTCTGCGAATGACTTTTTCCCACTCATGGCCTATACTATCAAAGGGGAGGGGTGTGGGGTTTACCGAGCCCCTTGTGCTGCGTGCTATAACTCACTTAATCCTTAGTACAACTGCGACGAGGTAAAAATGATGATTCCCATTTTACAAATGAAGAACCTGTGGCCAGTGCAACTTAAATGATTTTCCCAAAGGACATAGTGACAGAAGAAAAAAAATCAAACCATGTTTTTGTCCCTATACCCAGCAGAGTGCATGGCACACAGTGAATGCTGAGAAACTATCTGCAGGATGAATGAGTGAATGCTTGACTCTCATTCCATCCTCTTCCTACTGTCTGTTGCTAGAGGAATTATTGAACACAGTCTATTCTAACGTCCTCATTTTACAGGGACACCAAGCCTTTGTCTCACAGCTACTTAGTGCACAAGCTAGGACTAAAAATATGAACTCTTGTTCCCCAGTGTAATGTTCTCATTCTATTAGGCAGCCAGGATATTCGTTTGTACAGCTCTCTGGGAATTTATATCTTAGTTTGGAACAAAAGTCACTAATACATAAAATAATTGGAGCAAAAGATAAGGAGATAGATGACTGTGTGCTAGATTGAGGGACAGATCCCTTTATGCCTATTAAAGGAATTCAGGGATGGAAAAGATCCTTGGAGGCTGTATATCCAGGAAAGCTGTGGCTTGGACTTTGAGGGATGTTCAGGAATTGCAGGGGCAAAAAAGCAAACTCCTTGAACCCGGGAGTTGGAGGTTGCAGTGAGCCGAGACTGCACCACCACCAGTGCACTCCAGCCTGGGCAACAGAGCGAGACTCTGTCTCAAAAAAGAAAAAGCAATCTCCTTTTCCTTTTCTTAGTGACTGCCCTAGTTTTGGCTGTGCTTACTCTCACCTCGTCTCTCCCTCTATCTAGTTCATCCTGCAGAGTGCTGCCAGAGCAGCGTCCTAACGTGCAAGTCTGACCGCAGTTCTCTTCCTCAGAACCTCCTGTAGCTTTCCCCTGCTTGCTGGCCTTCATGCGTATGGTTCACAGTGCTCGGCCTCTCTCTGGTAACAGGCGCATCTCCCACTCCCTGTCCTCCTCCTCTACACCAAATCACTGACTGCTCCCTAAAGCCAGAATTTTCCTACCTCCCTCCCCTTTGTCCCATTCCCTGTCCCTGAAGTATCTGCTCACCACATTTCCCCCTTGACTGCCACTGAAACACTATACCTCCTCCAGTGTTCAGCTCCAGTGTCATTTCTTCTGTCCCTCTCCGACATTGCTATGGCTTGGCTCTATCCCCACCCAAATCTCATCTTGAATTGTACTTCTCATAATCCCCACATAATCCCCACATGTGGGGAGGGACCCGGTGGGAGGTAATTAAGTTATGGGGATGGTTGCTCTCATGCTGTTCTCGTGATAGTGAGTTCTTATGAGAGCTGATGGTTTTATAAGGGGCTTGCCCCCTTCACTTTGCACTTCTCCTTCTGGCCCTCATATGAAGAAACATGTGTTTGCTTCTCCCTCCACCATGATTGTAAGTTTCCTGAGGCCTCCCCAGCTGTGCGAAACTGTGAGTCAATTAAACTTACGCTTTCCTTTATAAATTACCCAGTCTCAGGCAGTCCTTGATAGCAGTGTGAGAACAAACTAAGACAGACATATTAGAGGAATTCACACATGGTAAAGATCCTTGTAGGCAATAACAATACAATTTATTCCATTATCATAAAACTGAATGCTTGAGAGAGTTTTGGATTGGGAATGTGGCAGATCTGGTTTTGATTCTTATCTCTGCCACTTCCTCACTGTGATAGAGTTACATTGATGGTCCTCCAAGGAACTACACTTCCAGTGTGAACACCTTTTTGTAAGTCCCTCCCACATTGACTCTGGACTTGGCTATGTCACTTACTTTGATCAATAGGACCTTGACAAGCACGATACAAAGAGAGTTGATAAGTGCTGGCATATTGAAGCTTGTCCTCTTGGAAGCTAGTCATCGTGCTGTGAGGATGTCCCAATTACCCTACTGGAAAGAGAGAGGTTGTGCAGAGAAAGACCCTGGCAGATACGAGACCCCTCAGGATATCCTGTGAGAAAGACAGATGCCCAGCCAACCCCTCACTGTGCCAGCCATCCCAGCTACGGCACTGGACATTGAGTGAAAACAGCTTGGATATGCTGGCTCCTGTCAAGCCTTCAGATGATTACATCTGCATAACGGACCCCAGAGAAGCCCAGCAAAAGAATTTCCCAGTTGAAGCCCCACCCAGATTACAGGATCATGAGCAAGTTAATGGTTTAAACCGCTAAGGTTTGGGGTGGTCTGTTACAAAGCAGTAGATAATGAAAACATTGGCTAAGTGATCTTGGACAGTTAATTTTTGTGAAACTCAGTCTGCCCATCTGTGGGATGGAGATGACATCACATAGCTTAGAGAGTTGAATGTAATGACATAATGTATATATAGTGCCCAGGGATGTCACTGACATTTATTAATTTATACAAGATTTAATTTATAGAATCCTATGTATGTCAGGCCCTGTGGTTTGTGATATAGTGATAAAGAAGTCACTCTTTCAGAGCACAAATTAATTACTTTAAAAATGTTAGTTCCCTTCCTCTCCTAACACAACGTGTGGCACATTATAGGTGCTTGGTGCTTGTTAAATTGAACTCACTATAACACACAGAGTATAAGCTAAATAACATTTTTGCTCTCCTGATTCTAAATTCATTTAGGCACTTACTCTGTAACATACAAACCACCAGTTTAAAAATTCATGGATAGCTTGAAAATGAGTTCTTGCTTACTACTTCTGGGGCCCCCACCTCTGAACTGACATGTCGCTGTGGGTATTAGATGACCTGTTGTCCAGGGTGAAGTCACTGGATTTTGAACTGAAAGATAGGAGAACTGGTCTGCTAAATGAAAGCAAAGCCCAATCCTATCTGGTAATCAGGAGAGCAATAAAGGTGTGCCTTCGCCTTCCCTCCTTCCAGTCTCTCCTAGCTCCTGCTCCTCTGCACAGAAACACCGTCCTGAGCCTTTTCTTGCAGGCTCCTTGAGTGGGCTTTCTATCTCAGCTTCTCTTTCTTCAGTCTCTTTCTTGGATCACTTCCAAATGGCTTCTGCTTTTCCACCTCAATGAAACTGCAATTACTAAGGCTCCCAACAAGCCTCTTTGAACACATAGGACTCTGCATGAGCTGATAGTAAGACACAACCATTGCATTAAGTCTTCACCACTAAAATATCACATGCCTTGCTGGGAGGAATAAAAATGAGCCCATGTGCTGGGCACAGTGGCTCACGCCTGTAATCCCAGCACTTTGGGAGGCTGAGGCGGGCAGATCACGAGGTCAGGAGCTTGAAACTAGCCTGGCCAACATGTTGAAACCCCATCTCTACTAAAAATACAAAAAACTAGCCGGCCGTTGTGGTGCACGCCTGTAATCCCAGCTACTCGGAAGGCTGAGGCAGGAGAATCGCTTGAACCCAAGAGGCAGAGGTTGTGGTGAGCAGAGATCATGCCATCGTACTCCAGCCTGGGTGACACAGTGAGACTCTTGTCTTGAAAAAAAAAAATCAGCCCATGTCAGGTTTCTTAAATTTGAATGCATCATGGTCTTCTGGAGAACAGTTGGTTTCTATATCTTGAAACAAGGGGGCTGGGCACAGTGGCTGACGCCTGTAATCCCAGCCCTTTGGAAGGCTGAGGTGGAAGGATTGCTTGAGGCCAGGACTTTGAGACCAGCCTGAGCAACATAGTAAGATCCTGTATCTACAAAAAATAAAAATTAGCCAGGTGTGGTGTCGTGTGCCTGCGGTCCCAGCTACTCAGGAGGCTGAGGTGGGAGAATCGCTTGAGCCTGGGAAGTTGAGGCTGCAGTGAGCCATGATCGTGCCACTGCACCCCAGCCTGGATGACAGAGCAAGACCCTGTCTCAAAAAAAAAGAAAGAAAGAAAGAAAGAAACAAGAGGGATAGCTTAGTCAACTGAATTGACTCTAAGAAGGCCTGCTAGCCTGTAATCCCAGCACTTTGGGAGGCCAAGGTGGGCGGATCACGAGGTCAAGAGAACGAGACTATCCTGGCCAACATGGTGAAACCCCATCTCTACTAAAAATACAAAAATTAGCTGGGTGTGGTGGCACGCGCCTGTAGTCCCTGCTACTCGGGAGACGGAGGCAGGAGAACTGCTTGAACCTTGGAGGTGGAGATTGCAGCAAGCCGAGATCGTCCCACTGCACTCCAGCCTGGCAACAGAGTGAGACCGTCTCTGTTGAAGAAGGCTGGCTAATCAGTGACACAGGGCCTTTTAATTAAGAAATGTATGCAAGTTTCTGTTGAGAGTTCAACATACGCCAAATTGCCCCATATACCAGAGACTCAAGAGTGGCCTGAATCTGTATCTCAGTAGGTGAGGGCAGGGCAGTTCTCACAGAAATGCTAGTCTAATCCTGGCATCAGAAAGAACACTCATGGAGAGGTGTGGTAAAACAAGAGTCAATGTGAATGACTTTTTGAAGATAAATTAGATGTGGTATTGTGACTTTTTTCCCCAAGCACCCACTTGAACCAGCTGATTTTTGTTCTTTTGTGTGTGTTGAAGGCAAACTGCTTTTCTAAACTTGCAAAGCCTCCCACCATATGCAAAATAGTGGGGAAAGACGTACTGGATGGACTAGGGCTTCCAACCTTGCAAGTGGACATATTCTGCACCATTCAAAACTTTCCTAAGGTATGAGGCAGTTTAAGTGTGTTCTTTAATGTACTGGCCCCACTGCATGTATTAGCAACTCTTGTCTAAACTGTAGAAAATTAACGTTTTGAAATTATTTGTGAAATATATGTATATTTCATAGGTAGTCATGTAAGCATGAATCATACCGTCAACCATGATGGCTTTATTATGTTTAAGTGTAATTTTGATACAGACATGACATGCTAACCTGAGGATGATCCAACATGGAGAAAGGAACTGAGGCAAAAATAGTTTTGTTTTGTTTTGTTTTTTGTTTTTGAGATGGAGTTTCACTCTTATTGCCCAGGCTGGAGTGCAATGGCACGATCTCGGGTCACCGCAACCTCTGCCTCCCGGGTTCAAGCGATTCTCCTGCCTCAGCCTCCTGAGTAGCTGGGATTACAGGCATCCGTCACCATGCCTGGCTAATGTTGTATTTTTAGTAGAGATGTGGTTTCTCAATGTTGGTCAGACTGGTCTCGAACTCCCGACCTCAGGTGATCTGCCCACCTCGGCCTCCCAGAAGTACTGGGATTACAGGCGTGAGCCACTGCGCCTGACCAAAATGGTTTTTAAATTCTGACATTACTCATGTGATAGGTTCTATAAATCTACATGTAGGTTTATAGATTATTTACCTAGATATTTATAGATGTTAGACTGACCTAAATAAAGAAAATAATTTAATAGTTTTAACAATTCATTTTAATTCACTTTGCTACATATTTGTTAGAAATAATTTTTGCTATAGTCTCTGGTAGGAGAAGAATAATGAGTAAATCTGCATTTTTGTTGTTATTTATTAGAAAAGCAGTGATAAAAATGAAGTTCGACGTAGGGTTTTTCTAAGGGTATTTTAAGTGTTCTATGAAGCTGAGTTCCACAGTGTTTCAATAGCTATAAAAATATCTCAAAGAAAATTATATATTCTCATTCTCCCCTTGAAATTGGTGGTAAAATTTCATGCATGTTAAAAGCTGGATTAATTTCCTCTTTCTGGGAGAGGTAGGGAAAGTGTTGAATACATTTCTGTGATTTTCAGAACATATGTTCTGTGGTAATCTCGACTCACTTTGAAGTCCATGAGAACGCTCTGCCCGAGCTGGCTGAGGCGGAGGAGGCAGAGAGGGCCAGCGCGGTCAGCACCGCCGTGCAGTGGGTCAACAGCACCATTACGCACGAGCTCCAGGGGATGGCACCCTCTGATCAGGCAGAGGTGGATCACCTCCTCAGGTACAGTTTCCACTTTGAAATATAAACATCAAGAACAAATATACGTCCATTATTTTTCCATTTCACCTGCCAATTAAATGGGTCTGTCAAATCTATAGCATTGGGAAGTCAGTTTACAAAGCATATGTGAAAGCAGCAACATTTAGCATAAAATTTGTTTTTCTCCTGAAAACCCTGTAATTAACACCTTACTGTGTAATGCTACATAGGGCTTTTCGGTCTCTTTTCATGTATAGAGCTGTCCTAAGACTTAGTAAAAAGCTTCTCAGAAAAAGAATCTGATTGTGAATCCAGAGGATGCCCTTTTCCTTCTCCCCACCCATCACATGCCACCTATGAGCTTCTCATATCCTTTTATTTAGTCACAACAGCTGACACTTACATTCTGTCCTCCAGCCACAACTAAGTCTCCCATGCTTTACCCATAGGTTGACTCAAACGCGCTAACAAGGAAGCATTTACTAGGGCTATGGAAATGTCCTTCATTGCCCAACCAAGTAATGGGTTAGAATCATTTTTCTGTTTGTGCAGGTCCAATGCCACAACCCTTTGGCCAACAGAAGGTCAATTGGATTCTCTTTCCTTAAGCTTTGTCATTTACTTAATTGTGTATAACATTTTAGTTTGCTTCAGAGTAAGATAATGACCTTTGTAAAAGAAACTTTTTTTTTTTTTTTTTTTGAGATGGAGTCTTCCCCTGTCACCCAGGCTGGAGTGCAGTGGCATGATCTCGGCTGACGGCAATCTCCACCTCCCAGGTTCAAGTGATTCTCCTGCCTTAGCCTCTGAGTAGCTGGAATTACAGGTGCTTGCCACCATGCCCAGCTCATTTTTGTATTTTTAGTAGAGATGGGTTTTTAACCACGTTGGCCAGGCTGGTCAAGAACTCCTGACCTCAAGTGATCCACCCGCCTCGGCCTCCCAAAGTGCTGGGATTAGAGGCGTGAGCCACCGCACCATGCCAAGAAAGTTTTTTGAATAGTTTTTGGTTTGCTTGGAGTTTCTGAATGCTATTCCTCTATTCCTTTTTTTTTTTTCCTTCATGTGCTATTATCATTTTCTTAGTTTATTTATTATTTTTTTTTCTCAAGCTCTCAGTTACATCTTATATTTTATTACACTCTTTTTTTTTCCTGGCATTTTCCCTCCCCAAATCACCCATCTGGACTGGTTCTTCTGTAGACCACCTACAGAGATGCCATAAAAACTTCATTGTTCTCCTGTTTCTGGATCCCACATTCTTTTCTTTCATGATTTGCTGGATTGTATCCTTTAAAAGTAAGGATGAGAAAGGGTATATGGGATGTAAAGTTTCTTAGTTATTTTATGTGTGGAAATGTTGATACTTTGCCCCCAAGGTTGATAGTTTAGCTGAGCATAGAATTCTCTGTTGAAATCAATTTATCTCATACTTTAAAGGCATTGCCCCACTGGCATCTGGATTATTAATAAATCTGATGCAAATCTGATTCCTATGTCTTTGTTTTTTATTTGCCTGGTTTTTTGCCTATAGAAGCTTTTAGCCTCTTCTTTAGGCAAAGAAGTGGTGCTGGGGTGCTGAAATTTTACATAAATGCATCTAAGTGGGATTTCCAAAAGTTTTTTTTAAATATTCATCTTAAGTGCCAAGAAAAAGAAAGGAAGTCCTCTATATTTATATGCTATATTTCACTCTATTCTTGACACATTTGTTTTCTGATGGTCATTTCTACAAAAAGAAAATACTGTAACCCACAATAAAATTACATCTTCAAGTTTTACTCTAAAAGTGCAAAACCAGGGCTCAAATCATTTTAAAATGAGCACCTGAAATCTTTAATCATTTATTTCCATGCCAAAATGAATTTCAGTTCTTGAATGCAGTTTTATAACAGCATCAGTGTTTTCTGGCTTTGAAAATTAAAGTTGATTTGTTCTTAAGTAGCTGAAAAGCAGTTATTTATTGAAATATATTGGGGTCAGCTCTAAAACATGACCAAAATCACAGAGTGATCTTCCTAAATATCCCAGTGTAAAGCCATATTTTCTTGCCATTAAGGATATTCTTTGCAAGTAAACTACAAGAAGATAAGGAGAGAAAAGAATTGGAAAACAGCCTGGAATGCTCAGCAGTGCCTACACTTGTACCTCCAGTACCACCGCCACCACCCCCTCCACCTCCTACCAAAAAAAAGGGGCAAAAGCCAGGTTGGTTGGTGACTTACCGTCTTGCAGAGTCCTTAGTAACAAATGTGTGAGGAAGAAAGGCCGAAACTTGGACTGCCTTTCTGAGTCTCTTGGCTACAGAACCAGTTTGGGCTCACAGCCAAAAGCCATCCATCCTATGTCACGTCCTCACTCAAAGATTTTGCCCCCATCCCACTCTCCATTTTTATTTGTAAAATAAAACAGTTTCTCACCCAGAGGTGAGAAATACTTATTATTAAATAAGGTGCATTGAGCAGTGCCAAGTTGGGGGTGGGGTAGGAGGGGATGGCTTGGGAGACCTTTCACCTCCCTTCAAAATTTCCATTAGCTAATCAAAAAGCCACTCCATATCTTAGAGTTTTGATTCCTTGGATATGAACAACCAACATTTTCTCAATCCTATGTAAAATAAACATTTTCTTTACAAAACTTTATTTTAAAGCAAATAATAGAAATGATCACTTCAGTCTGCCCTTGCTGCATGCCTTCCAACAGATCGCTAACCTCAGCCCCTGCAGTACAGTCATTCTGGAGCTGCTCTTAGTATAATAACAGGGTTTTGTATGTCTGCTGAACTAGAACATGCTCCTTGAGGGCATGAATCATGTTTATTCCACTTGCCATTGCCCGTATCTAGCATGATGCCAGGCATGAACCATACACTCAATTAATGCGGGTTTTGTTGAGAAACCAGAACCAGGAAGGGACCAAAGAGACCAGGGAGACAGGGTACCTTATTTCATAGATCCAGATGCTGAGGCCCAGAGAGGTGAAGAGATTTGCCCTGAGACAAAAGAATTATGTTTGAGCAATCTTCCCTTGGAAGGGTGGGATGGCCACTACTGAGTTATAAGTAGAGACCAACATGAATGTTCGTTTAGTGGTTGCTTTTGACTAATAGAACGTGGAACTTAAGGGAAGAAGCGGGAGGACACAGCTATTCACTAAGCGCTCATTAAGCGTGAGGTGCTGAAATATCTTATCTCCACTGGGGGCCTGAACCACATCGGCAGCTGTGGAGGAAAGGACAAGAGGAACACTAGAGATATAGATGATGGACTCTGTCTGGACCTCATGAGACAGGGGGGCTGAGAACATACTCTAGTGAAAGATGGGTAGGGAATCTGGGTCGATGGTTGGATCTGAAAGGCACTGCTAAAGATCGTAAATGACACAGAGCAAGGCATTGGTTTGGTGTTGGCGAGAAAGACAGCAGGGGTAGATATATTTATGCAGAGATGTTCAGCAGAAAATTGAGTGTGCAGCAGCTATGGTGAAATATAGAAAAACAAAAGATTTGAAATTTAAAGACAGTTCAAATACTCTATCTACTTTCTGTTACATGTTGGGCAAGTCTTTTAACCCCTCTAAGCCCCAGTTTACGTATATGTAAATGTAGAATAAAAATATCTACCTGATATGATTGATGAAGGAATTAATGTTAAATGGCCTAAAATGTCTTAGACTGGCAAAATCCATGGCTAATGATTATTTGAGAATCTTAAGCAAAAGCAAACAGAAAACTTCTTGGGGGTTGAGGTAGAGCATTTGTTGTTCCCAGCCTCGGCTTTCATCCTTTCTTTTTCCTGAATCTTTCCATCTGTAAGTAAAGCATTTAGAAATACAGTCTCAACTCTCTCAATCTTTCTCCCTCCAGGGAGGAAGGATACTATTACAGAGAAACCTATTGCACCTGCAGAGCCTGTTGAGCCTGTACTCAGTGGCAGTATGGCCATAGGGGCCGTGTCCCTAGCTGTTGCCAAAGCCTGTGCCATGCTGCTTAATAAACCTCTGTACTTAAATATCGCTCTACTGAAGCACAATCAGGTTAGTATCTATGAAGTTCCATTAAAAGCAGCCATGAGTATCTCAATATGGATGAACCCTGTTTCTCATTTTCCCTCGTTTTCCCCCTATTTCAGGAACAGCCAATGCTATTTATGCCTTTGCTGATGGTATCGCTGATCAGCTGTGGGAAGTCATCGTCTGGGAAGCTAAATTTAATGAAAGAAGTGATTTGTATACCCCATCCTGAATTAACAACCAAACAAGTACCTTACATTATGTCAAATTACCTTTTCTAAAAAAAAAAAAAAAAAAACTCTATAATTGATGAACTTTTAGTGGAGCTCCCTTGTGACACCAAGGGAGAGGGAATTAAAGATAAAATGAGAAAAAAATATTTTAGGAAATTAGTGAAGTGGGAAGAAAGACCTCAAACCAAAGGGAGCACATGTGGAGCACCTTAGATGTCTGGTTTCATTACAGCATTGGCTCACGCTGGTAACTCACAGAGAAGCCATGACTGAGAAACTCTGCAGACCTAGAAAGTGCTGGAAGGTTGTTATTTGGGGGCATCTTTATTTACTCTGCACTGTGCCCTATGGCAGCAGCAAATGAAAGCTAGCACCTCCTAGCAGCCCACTCTGTTAAGAAAGAACTCCAGGACTTGCCTGGGACGTATGAGACTTTTAGTGCATAGGAGTGAAAAAATCTCAAGTTGCATGTTCACCACTCAGAGGTGTGCGAGGGTCTGTACTGCTCCTCAGTAGCCTGAAAGAGTCAATATGCCTCTTTAAATCTTCATGATGACCAAAGGTTCATGATCTATAGGAGATGCTTTCTAAAAAAGTACAGAAAGCTTTCCCCAAGCCCCCTCCAGCAATAAGTTGAGTGATATTTTATCTTGGTGGAAATCAGTAAAAGAAAAAGAAAATCAAGTTTTTTCATGATAAAGAATTATTTCTTAAAATAGTTATTGCCTTACAGTTTATCAGTTGCAGACAACTAGGATTTATACCTGGCTTATCATCTGTCAGATTGTATTCAGATCCTGGTGTCAGGATCTTTCCTTTAGTTAGTATCTGTTGAGCTGTTTGCATACCAGAGCACGAGGAGTGCCATTCTTTATGGGGTCTTCGTATGCAGATCTCATCATCACAACATGCTTTTCTACTTTTTAAGGGACAGTAGATTTATATTGATTTAGCCACTCTAATCCAGACTACCTTGGTGATCTGTGACATGTATTGTAGGAAAGTTGTCTAGGTTGGCCTGGCGTGGTGGCTCACACCTGTAATCCCAGCACTTTGGGAGGCTGAGACGGGAGGATAGCCTAAGGTCAGGACTTTGAGACCAGCCTGGACAGCATGGCAACACCCCGTCTCTGTTAAAAATACAAAAATCAGCCAGGCATGGTGGTGCATGCCTATCATCCCAGCTACTTGGGAGGTTGAGGCAAGAGAATTGCTTGAACAATTTGGAGTTTGCAGTAAGCCGAGATCACGCCACTGTGCTCTAGCCTGGGCAACAGAGTGAGACTCCATCTCAAAATAAATAAATAAATAAATAAATAAAAAAGAAGAAGAAAGTTGTCCAGGTTGGTCCAGAGACCATAAAGGAGGATGAAGTTAACTCGATCTAAGCAACTGACCCAGTCAGTTCTGAAGGGTGAAGAGAGGCTACTGAGGGAGAAGAGCCTCTCATTCACATTCAACCCAATGAAAACTGGGACTGAAGATTAACATTTAATCTGCTGATTTTGTAGAGCATATCATCCCCTAATCAGGGATTCTACAAATACTCTGAGTTAGAAATAGCCACATGTGTTACAAGTTTTTATACTTAAACTTTCTAGTCTGCAACTATGGAAGATCATGGTTGTTCTACTTACAGGGGGTCGAGATGCTTATGGAAATTCAGAAACATATCAACAAAATAATTGAAATGGTATGTAAAGAGATTCTATGGTATCTAGTTACTGACACTTAGACACCTTCTAGCGTCCAACTTGTAGTTCATTTGGAATTAAATCAACTGTGGTTGATATGGAGAATGTATTTATTGACTTTGGGTTTCCCCCATGAACCAAGTGTATCCATGTCCTCAGTGGCTATTGATCCAGCCTCTAATGGTACTTAACAATCTCATTTCAGTTTCTGGGGCAACTGGCTTTGTGCTAAGATCATCCCTTAGGATTTACTAAGAAAGAAAGGATGTGGCCTCCAGGACATGAGAGGCAGCTTGATGGAATGAAGGCACAGACTCTTGTGCCTGCATTAGGGTCCCCGTGTTGAGCAAACAAGGGCCCCTGGCAGAGCAGCCCTCTTGGGGGCAGTCACAGAGGCAGGTGTATGAGTCACCAGTTGTCCCATCGTGTTCTAAATGGGCAGTGCACAGTGATATGGCAGGGCTGAGGCCAGGAGAGGGACCCAATCCTTGTCTGTGGGGCTTTATACACACACACACACACACACACACACACACGCACACACACGACTTTGATTTTGGAATACTACATTTACAGAAAAGTTGCAAAGATAGTACAGACAGTTCCTGAATACCTCTCACCCAGTTTCCCCCAGTGTTAATGATACATTACATGGTACATTTGCCAAAACTAAGAAACCAAAATGGTACACTACTAATAACTACAGACTTGATTCAAATTTCACTGGTTTTTCCACCAGTGTCCTTTTTCTGTTCTAGGATCCATTCCAGGATCCCACATTGCATTTAGCCTGAGGCTTTTAAGCTGCGTGATTAGGAAGCAGTAGGCTGAGGACCCAGTAGGATGGGGCTGGGATACAATAGCAGTGTAACATGGAGGAACTCTGGTTCTAACTCTGTCTCACCAGCACACAGTGTGACTGCAGGCAGGGGGCACGGGCCCCTCCCCTGCTTCGATGGAGGTTGGCTGGCTGGGGCCCAATCCCTGCAGTTGATCAGAATTGCTTTAAGCAATTCCAGGCTGGAGCTGGTGCTTTTCAGGAGGCCAGCTTCTTTTCTGAGTGACCAGCCTGTAGAAACTCAGACCTGAACAAGTTAGCGCTGATGTTGCACTCTGCTTTGCCATTCATAACTCCGTGACCTTGGGCCAATTCCATAGCCTCTCTGTCTCGGGTTCCTCATCTATAAAATGGAGATGATCAGTATCCAAATCATGAGGGTGACTGAAGAGTAAACCAGTTTAACCTGAGACACGCTGCATCAGGAGCCAGTGCCACAGGAAGCCACACCTGGTGGGTTGTGTCAGAGCAGGTGAAGGAAAGCCAGTTTAAACTATTAGGAAACTCAGGATATCTGAGCATTCTACAATTCATCCTTCTTAATTTCTTTTAAAAGTTTTTCAGCAGGGCATGGTGGCTCAAGCCTGTAATCCCAACAATTTGGGAGGCCAAGGCAGGTGGATCACCTGAGGTGAGGAGTTCGACACCAGTCTGGCCAACATGGTGAAACCCCATCTTTACTAAAAATACAAAAAAATTAGCTGGGCATTGTGGCAGGCACCTGTAATCCCAGTTACTCGGGAGGCTGAGGTGGGAGAATCAGTTGAAACCAGGAGGTGGAGGTTGCAGTGAGCTGAGATCGTGCCATTGCACTCCAGCCTGGGCAACAAGAATGAAACTCCATTTCAGAAAAAAAAAAGTTTTTCTTCAATTCTAAAATCTTTCCTGACATTTTGTCTTTTAAATGTTTTATTTACTTTGTGATGACACAAGTAGCTCATGAATGTTCTTGTGAAAATTCAAATACTGATAGAGCTACCCACCCACAACCACCTCCTACAGACTACTACCCTCAGTACAGTCCCTTCTCTAAAGATAACTGTCGTTAAAAATTGAGTGTGGCTTTCCAGACTTTTTAAAACAATAATTAAGTAGATAGGCCAGGAGTGGTGGCTCACACCTGTAATCCCAGCACTTTGGGAGGCTGAGGTGGGCAGATCACTTGAGGTCAGGAGTTCAAGACCAGCCTGGCCAACATGGCGAAACTCCATCTCTACTAAATATACAAAAATTAGCTGGGTGTGGTGGTGCACATCTATAATCCCAGCTACTCGGGAGGCTGAGGCAGGAGAATCACTTGAACCTGGAAGGTGGAAGTTGGAGTGAGCCAAGATCACACCACTGTACTCCAGCCTGGGCAACAGAGTGAGACTCCCTCTCGTCGGGGAGCGGGGGGGCGGGGAAGATAAATGCACAACAGAGAACAGTGTTTAAAATAATACAGAAATTATGCACAAATCATTCTGCAAATTGCTTTACTTCTTTGCCCTTTTCATTGAAGTGTTTATCTTTTATTGCTATCTAGGAATTCTTTACATAATAAGGGATTTAATCCTTTATATATATAAATATATATATATATAATTTTTTTTTTTGAGATGGAGTCTAGCTCTGTCTCCCAGGCTGGAGTGTAGTGGTATGATCTCAGCTCACTGCAACCTCTGCTTTCCGGGTTCAAGCGATTCTCCTGCCTCAGCCTCCTGAGTGGCTGATGTTACAGGCACCCAGCACCATGCCCAGCTAATTTTTTGTATTTTTAGTAGAGATGGGGTTTCACTGTCTTGGGCAGGCTGGTCTCGAACTCCTGACCTTGTGATCCGCCTGCCTCGGCCTCCCAAAATGCTGGAATTACAAGCGTGAGTCACCATGCCCAGCCAATTCTTTATATATGCTAGACCTATTTTCCTGTATCATGTTGCCTGCCTTTAAATTGTATGATATGGAGTCATACCGATTTTTAAAATTTTTTGATGAAGTGAAATGTAGCAATCTGTTCTCTTAAGGCAGTGACTCTCAAGCAGCAATGATTTTGCCCAGGGGACATTTGGCAAATCTGGAGACATTTTTAGTGGTCTTGGCTTGGAAGGAGGGTTCTGATCGCATTTTGTAAGCAGGGATCAGAGCAGCTACTGAGCGTCCTGCAATCTACAGGGCGGCCCCCACAGCGGGGTAATCCAGCCCCCTGGGGGCTGGATTATATCTTAATTTCTTATATCTTAATTATATCTTAATTTCACCTGGCCATTATATCAATAGTGTGATGCAGGGATCACATTTCTGTTGACTTTCCACGTGGCGTTACATGTTTGGAAGCTGCAGTGGGATTCTTAGTAATAGCTCCAACTAGTTCATTCATGTTTGAAGGAAAAGCAGTAAAGCACTTAGAGAAAGTTCAGTATCAAAAACCATCACTATGCAGTCGAAGTCACAAAGTTTAAGTTGTTAAATAATATGTAGTGTAGTGGAAAGAGCACAATCTTTGAAGCAAACAGATTTGGTTTCCATTTTGGTTCTGCACTTACCAGCTGCCACTTCGTGAGCCTCTTACATATCCTGTCAAAGCATTGGTTTCCTCATCTGTACAGTTTTTAAATGCCTGCCTTGGCCAAGTGTGGTAGCACATGCCTATAATCCCAGCACTTTTGGGAGGCGGAGGTGGAGAGGCCAGGAGTTCAAGACCAGCCTGGCAACATAGCAAGACCTTGTCTCCACAAAAATTAGTCCAGTGTGGTGGCATGCGTCTGTGGTCCCAGCCACTTGGGAGGCGGAGGTGGGAGGATTGCTTGAGCCCAGGAGTTTGAGGCTGCAGTGAGTTCTGATCATGCCACTGCACCCCAGCCTGGGTGACAGAGGGAGATCCTGTCCCATTAAAAAAAAAAAAAAAAAAAAAAAAAAAAAAAAAAAAAAAAAAAAAAAAAAAAAAAAAAAAAAAAAAAAAAAAAAAAAAAAAAAAAAAAAAGCCTGCCTTGTATGGGAGGAACCCTGAGCTGCTGGGCTGCTAATAAAGGGTGCCTATTTATAGCATAGTAATTGAATATAGAAAGATGTTTAATCCTTCCCAGTGATTACAGTGATAACAGAGCATTCCCAACATTACCCCAATTCTTCTATTAAGTCTTAATTTTAATCTATTTTGAGAAAAAAAATGCTGAAGAAATGGTATGTTTTCTCATGCAGGCCCCAACCCAAAGATGTCTGTAGATAACCTTAGCTAAAGCCACGGTCTTAAAACAGGAGATGATAGGAGTGGAACCAGGGTTACTGTAATCACCATGCTTTGTTTTAGTAATAAAGTGATAGCTCCTGATGACATCATTTGGCTGGTGGCATTGATTAGCAGATTACATCATGCCAGATTTATTTTGGCAAACTCACTCTCCCTAGGAACTCCCGAGTAGACTAATTCTTACTAATGAAAGATGGTATTTGTTTCAGTTTTTAGCCATTTTTAAATCCACTTAATCTGAGAACAGCCATTCTAGAATACATTGCATTTTTTTATGATTAAAAAGGTTGCCAGCCTGGGCAACATAGTGAGACCCTGTCTCTACAAAAATATTTACCGGAAAAAAAAAAAAAATTAGCCAGGCATGGCGGTGCACACCTGTCGCCCAGTTACTTGGGAGCCCGAGGCAGAAGGATTGTTTGAGCTCAGGAGGTCAAGGCTGTAGTGAGACATGATTGTGCCACTGCACTCCAGCCTGTGTGACGGAGTGAGACCATGTCTTTAAAACAAAAAGGGGTAGGGGTGGGGCTGGAGATTTTAACTTCCATTATTTAACAGCTTATTCTTATTACGGTAGAGAGAAAGATGTTACAGGTTGTTTTTTTCCCTGGTTATTGTTTACCGTTGCAAGGCCCTATGCTAGGTGCAAAAGGGGATAAAAACATACTTCCTGTCCTCAGGCAGCTTAAAAGTCTCAATGAGGGAGCATAAAAAACATGAGAAATCCAATAATAATGCACACCAAGACTGTTCTTTAATGTTTGCCATTCTGAATTGGTGCCAGTAATCACTGAGATTGTCCCCTGATCACATCACATGACTTCCCTTTGCCCTTCTGTTCAGGGTCACTGTATGTGCATATACTTGAGTGTGAGCCATACTTATGCTTGACAATCATGCCTCAGCTTACAGAGCCAGTATACTCTGAGCACGAAAGTGCATCCTTTAAAAGATTAGATCTTTGCAATAATATGCACCCAATATGCCAAATGTGGGAATGCCTCTTTGGGAATTACCTTTGCTTTTAACCTCATGACACTATACCCACTAGATTCACCAGATTTAATTACCTTTGACTGTTTCAAATCAAAGTCAAAACCACCCTGCAGGAGAAAGTGTTTGCATCCTGAGAATATTCAAAACATTATGTTGGGCCTGTAAAAGCAAATCCCACAGCAGGGTTAAGCCCTAAGGGCAAGGAGGGGACTTTGTATCCTCCTGCAGAAAAAGGGTGCCTGCACACAGCAGAAGTTCATGATATATGTGTGAATAGCACATTATTTATATGCATAGAAATGCATGAATCTGTATACACACCCCATATACGTGACTGGGGGCAGAAGGTAAGGATGAACTAAAGGAAACACATTCCTGAATTTCAGAAATAGTTTGTGGCATATCAAGTAGGGAATGGCTGGAATTGTCCCTATGTGCATGAGTGCGTGTGTGTGTGTGTGGGCGCGCACGCGTGTGAGATTCAGTGCGGCTGGTCAGGTCTCAGAGCAGTAAGCTTTGCTTGCTGCCACAGCCATGCTAAAAATTTCAGGTGATGTATTTTTATCTTCTGCCCCACAGCCCTCTCCTCCAAAAGCAGAGACAAAAAAAGGGCATGATGGAAGCAAAAGAGGTCAAGTAAGTCTATATATTGTTTACCATCCTTCCATATGACACTGTTTATAGATTTCCTGCCCCTTTTTATCTTCCATAGTCACTTTTTGCTCCAAGTCCAGGACTGAGGCAAATGGAAACTATATAGTGATGTTGCTCCAGGCACCCCCAGAGCTGCAGTATCATGCTGCCCCTGCCTTCCAGCAACAGGCTGCCTGGCCATTGCTGGCAGCAGCTGTGTAGCCATCTGGAATCTCACAGGGTTAGGAAGCATTTATGGGAAATAGGGTTACACTGGACCCTATGGGGGAAGTGTTTGGGAAATCAAATCTCTCTTGACAACTAGCTGAAAGGCACATAGGATATTTTACATTTTATTATTAACAAAGAGAAAAAGAAGAAGCACAAAAAGATGGCTCTTCCTTCCATCTGGTCCCCCAGACACACTGAAGCATCATTTCTGATGAACCATTGCAGGAACTCCGATTTTGCCAGGAGAATGAGGCGAACAGTCCTCCTTGTCAAAACTGGCTGCGCTGGCTTCAGGAGCCTTGGGAGACCAGCGGAACTTGATCTGTCAGTCACCTTGGTGACTGTGAATGCTCTGATAGATGTATCTATTATAGCCTAAACTTTCAACAATATAAATAGAACAGCCAATAAGAACTTTGAAGAGCATGCACATGGGTGAAGGTTGCTCACATCTGCAGTATTTGATTTGCTCTGTGAGTGAACAATCCTTGCCCCACCTTGATGTTAGGTAGGTGAGAGTCGGCTGAAGTCAAAAGAAGAGGGGCTAGGAAAGAAAGAAGACACCGCAGAGATAAAAAAAAAATGAAGTTTCTTTTCAAGATTAGAAGAGAGAAATGTGTGAACACATACAGCACTAAGTAAAATACTGTCAACAGTTTGTACATGTTGGAATGAGCACAGCTGTCTAATATTAGGCCTTGCAAGAGATGGAGATGGTAAACAAGCCACCAGTTCTCAGTGTTGTTCCTTCATTCCAGCAGGTGGTTCTCTGCATGCTGGGAAACTTAGACCAACATCAGCCCTCCCTGTAATCAGCTGTACTACTACTTTTTTTTTTTTTTTTTTTTACCGTTAGAAACAGTCTAGAGTATAGATTCCAGAGAGGCAGCCACACAAGAACTAGGGGTATAAACTCTGGTGCTAAACTGCCTGAATTAAAATCTGGTCCACATTACTTAACTGTAAAATGGAGATCATAGTAATACCTTCATATGATGTGTAAGGAGTAAATGTATTTTACTTTATGTAATGTGCTTAGAACAGTACCTGGCATTTAGTAAGCACCAAATAAGTGATACTTTCATAGTTCAGAAGGCTCTATAACAAAACTCAATTGATGGACAAAAATTTCCTCAACTATTCCTTTGTTTGCCAAATAAAAGTTTCCTCTCATTGACATTAAAATAGTGCTATCACCAGTCAAAATAGAATACTCATTGCCGGGTTCATGTTTGTCGTTGAGTTTGGCGCAGACACACACACACCTTACCTTAAGCCCTCAGATTCATTGATACTGCTTCAATTTATAATTGCATAGTGGCAATTTATGGCGAGGGCACATCAAGGCTGACTTTGCAATAGCTGTCTTTCCTTGGGGTTATGTGGGTCCTGAAATCATCTTCCACTAAAATCCATCTTCAGTATTGCATCCTCTTAGCGGAAGTCTGCAGTCCTTTTAAAGTGGCCAACGCCTGTGATCCCAGCACTTTGGGAGTGTTGAGCACAAGACTTCAAGACCAGCCTGGGCAACACAGCAAGACCCTGTCCCTACAAAATATAAAAAAATTAGCCAGGTGTGGTGGCATATGCTTCTAGTCTTAGGTTCTCAGGAGGCTGAGAAAGGAGGATGACTTGAGCCTGGGGAAGTCGAGGCTGCAGAGCCACATTCAAGTCACTGCCCTCCAGCCTGGGTGACAGAGCAAGACACTATCCCAAAACAAAATAAATAAATAAAACTTTTCCTGAAGGAGGGTTACGCTTTTAACAGCTGCATTTATCTGGAGGAAAACAGAACATAGGAAAGAGCAGGTTTGGAGGAAAAGGACTGGCAGAGCTAGAGACAGACAGGATGGACATTTACAGGGAGGGCCTGGAGATTCACCAACCGGGTGGTTGTGACTCAGGCTAGCCCCACGTACAAGGAACAGCAGCGTCAATAAAGAGAGAACACAGACACACTGAAGAGAGAAAAGTGTGCTCCCAGGCTAAACTTGGAAACCTCAGAAGAAAATTACTCCCAGATACTGCAGGGGAATCATATGCCCTAAGTCATGTGAATCAATCCTAAGTAGGATTGAGAATTAAAGGACTGATCTTTGCAGAGCTGTATCTGATCATAAACCATGCCTATCACAGGAAGCACCAAGAACCTTAATGAGGTGTACTGACATGCATCATTGTCTCTTGATCTTGTAGCAGCAGATCACTGGCAAGATGTCCCATCTTGGTTGTTTAACCATTAACTGTGACACCATAGAACAGCCACTGCTTCTAATACAGGAAATCTGTGCAAACCTGAGGCTAGAACTGGGAACAAATCTGCATCTAGCTATCAACTGTGCTGGACATGAGCTGATGGACTACGTAAGTTTCCACTTCAGAACATTCACTTCCTATTGAGATCCATGATTTTTAAATTAGAACTCAGAGAAAAAGAGCTTATCTGCATATTGTCCAAACAGATCTTATTGTTTTTTATTAATATTGTGTGAAGGATTCTAATATAAACGGAACTGAGAAAATCAAATTAGCTAATGACCACAGAATAACAAAACCATAAAAAATTTTAAATAGACAATGTCATTATTATATATAGAAATTCTATGATAAAGATGAGTAAAATGAGTCACTTACATTGCAATCCTGAAAGCCACTGAAAAATAATTTAACAAACTGCATTTGGTTGATAAATGCTGAATTTGTCGAGCCTAAAAAGTGGATGAGTTGTAACTTATGACATGATAGGCCCTTCCAGACATGTAGTTCTTAGAATTTATGCTGTGACTTTTTAAATATAAAAAAATTTCCAAGTTATTGAAGTTTACAAAGAATATGTTGTTGTCCAACTAAACACATCACAGTGTTATCCACAGCCTGGGTTAGGAGGACAGAGCCTTAGTGATATGATGAGACTCCACCTGGGGATCACCCACCTGAAGAGAAAGATTCTAAAAAGAGTGGAAAACAGGTTCATTAAAAAACATCCTAGTCGGCTGGGCATGATGGCTCACGCCTGTAATCCCAACACTTTGGGAGGCTGAGGTCAGGAGTTCAAGACCAGCCTGGCCAACATGGTGAAACCCCGTCTCTACAAAAAATGCAAAAAATTAGCTGAGTATGGTGGTGGGTTTCTGTAATCCCAGTTACTCGGGAGGCTGAGGCAAAAGAATCGCTTGAACCCAGGAGGTGGAGGCTGCAATGAGCCAAGATCGTGCCACTGCACTCCAGCCCAGACAATGAGAGTGAAACTCTGTCTCAAAACAAAACAAAACAAAACAAAAACAAGCAACATTCTAGTCTTCACTTCCTCAGGGTAATACAACAGCAATTTACCTTTAAACTTGGGAAACTGGTATGTTAGGAAAGTTATTAGTTTTCTATCTTACACATATACTTACTGATATAGTTTGGCTGTGTCCCCACCCAAATCACATCTTGAATTGTAGCTCCCATAATTCCCATGTGTCATGGGAGGTAACTGAATTATGGGTGCAGGTCTTTCCCATGCTATTCTCATGATAGTGAATAACTCTCACTACATCTGATGGTTTTATAAAGGGGAGTTCCCCTGTACACACTCTCTCTTGCCTGCTGCCTTGTAAGACATGACTTTGCTCTTCCTTTGCCTTCCACCATGATTGTGCAGCCTCCTCAGCCATGTGGAACTGTAAGTCAATTAAACCTCTTTCCTTTATAACCCAGTCTCAGGTATGTCTTTATTAGCAGCATGAAAACAGACTAACACATTTCCCAATTTCAAATACACAAAAATGCTGAGTCTGCGTTTTATGAAATGCCCAGCATATTGCCAAGCATTTATGGTGACTTGGTGATTAATGTCAAATTCAGAGGACTTGACCAAATAGCATTCTGCTTTAACAGTGATTTTTAACTTTACAAAGAACATTTTGAACACTATATAAGAACCCTCAATTTTGGCTGACTTCTAAAAGTTCTTTTACTTTTCTAAAGAAACTAAGCACATAAAAGAATATTTAAAGTAATTTCCTATTCTTCACATAACGATTGGTTCCTAGACATACCATTAAGAAAAATAATTGCATGTTTTCATCAGCAACGTATACCAGGAACTATGAATATACTGACTGCTAGTGCTAACTAGAATGGGTATTTATTGCTTATATTCAGTAAAATTATTATTTTGATATCAGATAATTCTTACAATATTGTTAGTTCAAAATCATTCGTGTTTCCTCACTGACTAGATAGGGTTTTTTAAGCTTTGCATTATTGAAGTTAAAAGTTCTTGCTGCTTTTGAAGATGAAAAAAGTATGAAATCCCTTCAGTTATGGTCTTAGGAAACTGCTTAATTCCAATGGAATCCATTCTATTATCAGCAGCAGCAGGAAGGCATTAGCAAACCAAACAGCCACTCTGTTCCATTCCACCTCCCTCCCGGTGCCCAAATATCCCAGGTGCCATCCCTGAACACAGACTTAAAAGGAAGGGTGCTTTGTTTTGCAGAAAGGCTATTCTAGCTCCTTCAGCCCTGTTTACTTCTATACTTAATGACGTAGGGGCTTCCCAGACTTCAAATGGATGTTGTACTAGAATTCTACCTTCAGGACAATATTGTTACTACTAGAAGGTACATGCTACCTAAGAAAGAAATGCCTCACATAAATCACATTACTTTTCATACTGGTTGTTAGTGTATCAAAAGCCTAGCCTTGCTTTCAAGCTTTAGAATATTTACGGTAAAGGAAACAAGTTATTCATTCAATGTGAGCTAAAAGATGGTAGGGTCTAGTGAGTGAGCAGGTTAGCACTGCTATTCTGCTTGTTTTGTGAATTTATGTTATTGTCCATCTACCCAGGCAGCCAAATCTAACAGATTATGTCCCTCCTACTCTGTAATTCTTGGTGTTTTGTGTAGGAGGCTCCATCTGAAGTCTGTGGGAAGAACCCTAGAGGGCATCAAAAGGAATGGTGACTTGATTTCCCAGGTTAATATTTAAGATATTTAAAGTAGAATGGACAGATTTCTCAGGTCAGTGTGACCTGAAAAGAACCTGTTTACAACCTCTTATATAAAATGAACAAAAAGGAATCTGAACCACTTCTTTGGGATTTGATGAATTCATTGTTTATCCCTTATTTTAATATTTTCCTGACACATATCAGAGTAAAGGAAAGTATGAAGTGATCATGGGCACATACAAAAATGCAGCGGAGATGGTTGACCTGTATGTGGATCTGATCAACAAGTACCCTTCAATTATTGCCTTAATTGATCCTTTCAGGAAGGAGGTAAGCACCTTACCTTTCATATTTTATAACATACTTTATATGCCATAAGATAGGCAGGACTCACCTTTTATATTTTATAACAAAGCAGAGAATAAAATCTCATTCTTTTGGATCTCTGTCATTCAAAACATTTTAATTTGGTCTGGGGCTGAGTTGCTTTATTTCAGCATTTATGAGAAAAGGCACTTACTAAGCAAATGAATAGAAAAAACACAATTACCTAGGAGTGTGCCTGTCTGGGGAATGAAACACGCTATTCGCAAGCCCTTCAGGAGTACCTGTATATTTACAAGCAGCCTAACAGATGGAAGCTGCCCCTGCTGTGCAAGTTGGAGCTTCAATAGGTTAATCATATATCATTTTCAGGTGCTCAGGGAAACAGGACTTCTATAAGACCAAATTATTTTTCAACCTAAATCCAGTCACTATATATGCATAAAAGTAACAAAGCCATTTTTTCTTTTGAGATAGGGTCTCACTCTTGTCACCTAGGCTGGAGTGCAGTGGCACGATCTTGGCTCACTGCAACCTCTGTCTCCTGGGCTCAAGTAACTCTCCTGCCTCAGCCTCCCGAGTAGCTGGGACTATAGGCGTGCACCACCACACCCAGCTAATTTTTGGTATTTTTAGTAGAAACAAGGTTTTGCCGTGTTGCCCAGGCTGGTCTCCAACTCCTGAGCTCAGGTGATCCGCCCACCTTGGCCTCCCAAAGTGCTAGGATTACAGGCATGAGCCACTGTGCCTGGCCTGCAAAGCCATCTTTTTAAAGTGTTTGAGATATTGAGGTTTTATGATCTATTAAAACTCATGCATTTGACAAAGGCTTATGTGACCATCTTTCCTCCAACCAACTTACACTCCAAAATTTAAATTCTTGATTTTATAAATTTGAGAACCATCAGATAGATTGGACAGATATATTGAACAGATATCTTCTTTGACATAACACAACTATTTCGATTTGGAGGACAATACAAATGCTGGTCCTCATGTGGAGTCCCAGGGTCTCAGTCCCATCCTCCCTTTCACAGCCTCCATTTCACTCCAGCACACACAGAATGCACTGGCTGAGCCTAATCTTAGCTCTTTAACCTTGCCACACCAGCCCTGTGATGACCGTCCTGAGGCTCTGGTCGTACTTTTTTAAGACAGGGTCTTGCTCTGTCACCCAGGCTGGAGTGCAGTGGCCTGATCACAGCTCACTGCAGCCTTGACCTTCCAGGCTCAAGCCATCTTCCCACCTCACCCTCTCAAGTAGCTGGGACTACGAGGCACACCACCACACCCAGCTAGTTTTTGTATTTTTTGTAGAGATGGGGTCTTGCCACATTGTCCAGGCTGGTCTCATACTCCTAGACTCAAGCAATCCTCCTGCCTCAGCCTCCCACAATGCTGGTAGTACAGACATGAGCCACTGCACCCAGCCTTGACCACAGCTTTTTTCATGTGATAGGATGAACCTATGTGGTCTGTTCTAATGCGGTAAGTTGAAATCTGGTACAAAAGCTGGGATGACTGTGTGTGTGTATGTGTATAATTTTAAAATAAGCATTTCATTTCCTATGATGGTCTCACCAATAAAAATAAGGGTGTTGAGAAGGGACTAGAGCCCTTGCAGGGTTTCTTTTTCCATTTTCTGTTTATCAGAAATATCAGAAAAATCCATCCCGTCAATCTTTAGCAGCAATATAGATGACAGTGGATGGGAATAGCCTGGGTCTGAAGAACTCTAAAATCCACATAAGAAATAGCATTCAGTGTATTAACATTTTATTCACAAAACCTTTAAGCTCAAATGTAATCGCTATTAGTTTCTGTTTCACAAAGCTTCTTAGTTTGTGTGGCTGTGGTACAGGGATCATTCAGGAACAAAAGTAAAAGAAAATTGTTTTGTGCATCTCAGGGAAAATGTGTGAGTTTGAGTATGTGCTCTATTATTCCTGTTGTTTTGTAATTATGTTCAATGCATTACAATGATCGATTCTTAAATATTTACCCAGGACTCTGAACAGTGGGACAGCATCTATCACGCACTTGGTTCCAGGTGTTACATAATTGCAGGAACTGCGTCCAAAAGCGTTTCTAAACTTCTAGAGCAAGGAAACATCAGCATCCCCAAATCCAATGGGCTGATCATAAAACACACAAACCAAACTACAATGTCTGACTTGGTGGAAATAACCAATCTGATTGACAGTGAGTAACAGTATACATCTGAAAGACTTGTAATGACTTGGTTATACAAGAAACCAAAAATACACAGCATATCAAAGTTACTAAAAAGCATGGAAGAAATCTTGGATGAAAAGAAAGTCCAACCATTTGTGAGAGATTTAGTGCTGGAACACAAAATGCAGCTTACTGACTCACTTCACAATGTTCCACTAACAGCCCAAGTCCAAGCTGATCCCCTTTACTGAGGGCTACCAGAGGTACGGCCAAGGCCACTGCCCTATCAGCTTCACAGTGGGGACAGCCTTTCTGCCTGTAACAGGAGGACTCATGGCTGATTTCTTATGAAAGGGCATAACCTTCAGCACATTTATCAATTTGCTTTAGACTCTGAGCTTGGGCTACAGAAAATCTTTAAATTTACAGAAACCTGGCTGGACGCGGTGGCTCATGCCTGTAATCCCAGCACTTCGGGGAGGCTGGGGCCAGCAGATCACAGAGTCAGGAGATCGAGACCATCCTGGCTAATGCGGTGAAACCCTGTGTCTCTAGTAAAAATACAAAAAATTAGCCGGGCGTGGTGGCAGGTGCCTGTAGTCCCAGCTACTCGGGAGGCTGAGGCAGGAGAATGGCGTGAACCCAGGAGGCCAAGCTTGCAGTGAGCTGAGATCGTGCCACTGCACTCCAGCCTGGGCGACAGAGAGAGACTCTGTCTCAAAAAAATAATAATAATTAAATAAATAAATAAATAAATAAATTTACAGAAACCCATAGAGGTACCCTAACTCTTACTGCTAAAGAACAGATCTCAAATCCTGAATCAGGCACTGTGGAACACCTGGGTACCATCTGCACTAGCCAGGCTTCCAGCTACAATGCAGTATTTAAGCTAAAAAAAATAGCTCACCATTAACAAAGCCAAGGCACCAAGCACAGCCAAGGAACAACAGGGGCAGAACATGTGTGGCCCGCATCACCTTACTGCAGTATTGTAAATTTCCTCCTATGTATTGTAAATTTCCTCCTATCATTTACTACCACTTTATGCTCTAGATTCTAGATAAGGAGTCAACATCTTAACAGGGACCACAACTCTTTTTTCCACATAGGCATGGCTCAAGTACATAGTAAGGATGCAGGAATTACTTAATTGAAAAGGCTCCAAGTACATAGTAAGGATGTAGGAATTACTTAATTGAAAAGGCTCCAAGTACATAGTAAGGATGTAGGAATTACTTAATTGAAAATAAACTTAGCTACTTATAATATATCCAGACACCAGTCGGCCATTTTAATTTGCATTACTTGGGGAAGTCTAGGAGGGATCAGAATTTGGAATCAGATCACCCACTGCAGGGTCTACTTGAGCAGTTTAGAACACAGGCAACAAGATCAGATTAGAAGCAGTTTTCTGTCAGTACAGAGACCGGAGGCAAGGGTAGGTTCACTACTAACGTGCAGCACGAGGAAGCTTGGCAAGGTAGTGGGGCATCAGGGAATCCTCGGGAAGCAGAACCTGAGTCATCAAGTTGGGATTCGGGACAGGATCCCAGCAATGGGGATCAGGGGACGACAGGTGAAAAGCAGGGCTCCAGTGCTGGTGCATCTGGGATGCCAGAGGAGGGCAGCTTTATTTAAGACCAATGGATCAGGCATTTGCGAACTGGACATAATCCTTACAGCATTCCTGTGAAGCAGACACTATCATTTCTACTTTACTGATAAGAAAACAAGACTTGGAGAGATTAGGTAAGTTTCCCATGACACTATAGTCATCTCACTTGCCCACAACTCTTGACCACGTCAGTGTTTAAACATGCTGTTCCTTTGGACCAGAATGCTTTGCTCTGACATACTTGACTCTGCATCCTTCAGGTCTTGGCTAAAATGAAATGTCTTCAGCCACTCTTGCCTACCCCTATCCCTAACTGGTTCTGTTCTGAGTCTTCCTCCTAGCATCCTATATTTCCTCTTTGTAATACTGACTACAATGACTTGTACAACTATCTAATGACTGGGGTCTCCCACTAGACTACAAACTGAGTTCATAGGCGTCTTGTACACTAATGCAGAGGGCACGAAACAAATACCATGAGTGGGTCGCAGGAACTAGACAGAAAGCTGGTCTCAGAGCTGGAGTAGAACTCAGAGCCAGACTGGCAGCCAGGGGTCTGGGTTGGTGCCAGAGGATGGAAGAAGATGCTCAGGCAGGGCTGGCCTGTGGGTGGTAGATGATAGATAGGAGGCAATGCAAACACTGTCGCTGCAGGAAGAGCTCTGGCTGGCACTCTTCACAGACTGGCACATTTCAAAGGGTTTTGAGACCCTCAAATGATTGATTACTACCAACACTACTCTTCTAGTAAATATTCAGAATGGCAGTCCTTTGAATAAAATTCTACACAATGACAGGAGAAAGCCATTATGTAGGCACAACAACTCCACATGTTACTCTTACCATATTTCAGACTCAAAGATGCACATTTTTCTACATTGAACATTTAAAAAATTGAATCGTGTCTTATAGCTGTGGTCTTAGAAATGTGTCCATCTAATTTGAGCACCCCCCTACCCCCTTTTAGTGGTAAAAAATAATAGTACATCTTACAAATCATCTATCTTTTTTTTTTTTTTTGAGACGGAGTGTCTCTCTATTGCCCAGAGCTGGAGTGCAGTGGTGCAATCTCGGCTCACTGCAAGCTCCGCCTCCCGGGTTCACGCCATTCTCCTGCCTCAGCCTAAGTAGCTGGGACTACAGGTGCCTGCAACCACGCCTGGCTAATTTTTTGTATTTTTAGTAGAGACGGGGTTTCACTGTGTTAGCCAGGATGATCTCGATCTCCTGACCTCATGATCTGCCCGCCTTGGCCTCCCAAAGTGCTGGGATTACAGGCGTCAGCCACCGCACCTGGCCATCATGTATCTTAATTTTAATGAAACACGATATTCATTTAGTATTTACAGCACCTAAGCTACTGAAAGTTGGGGGTAAACAAATAAAAGCAGGGCAATAAAAATGCAAATGTTAGAATCCTAGGTGGGCAAATAATTGACTCTTCACAGGGGAGTTATAAATCTGAGAAATGTTTAATTTTGATCCCAGAGGCCCACATGTATGCTAACTTTCTACACCGTATAAAACTGAAAGAAATTCCTCTTCCAGGTAAGAAGCACATCACAGTCTTTGGAAGTACAGAAGGAGAATCATCTGATGACAGCCTTGTCGATTTGGTAAGTGCTGAATGCTGGTCAACTGCCAAACACTGCTTTTATCACGAATTGGTATTTCAGAGAAATGCAGTCTTTAGTGGAGAAAGTCATGTAACCTTTTATGAAATAGACTTGCTTCCTCCCAGACAGCTACCTTTTGCAAAGAGCTAATCTTTGAACTTTTAAAAAGAACAAAAAATTGAAGTCCAGGGAAAATGATGAGCACACTTAAATGACTGGGGTGTGCACCTGCAATCTTTCCTCCTAAAATGAAGTGAGAAAGGCCAGAATGTTCTTAGATAAAATCAGCATGCCTACGTGACTAGTAAAGTGCCTGATGGATAGTCAGTCACATCATCTGTTTGCCTTTCAGCACTCTCAGCTTGTAGGCCACTGTACTTATGTAAAGATAAAAAACTAATAAGGGAAAAACCAAAACAGCACACCGTGACAGTTTCCTTTCTCCTTAAAGAATTGTTTGTCATTTAGCAAGACATGGCTCCTCCATCTAAAATGAGCTCCCGCCCCCCTCTTTCAGGCTGTTGGGCTTGGTGTCCGGTTTATCAAGTTGGGGGGTCTTTCCCGTGGTGAACGAGTGACTAAATACAACCGCCTTCTCACTATAGAGGAAGAACTTGTCCAGAATGGAACACTGGGTATGCGCTGCTTTCTTGCTTTGTTTTCACTTAGCCATGAATAAGAGAACAAAGATTGGAAAAGGGGGAATAGAAGTCCCTCTGCAGGAGGGCAGGGGAATCCAAAGACCATACATAAGTGCTGACAAAACTAGGATGGCACTTGCCACAATGTATATTGTTGTCTTAATGGATCATCTATTTACCTGAATGTTTAAAACTCTCGCCCTTTTTCTTGATGAATAGGCTGCACGATGCTCTTCAATAGAATTAATTGATCGGAATTTCCAAGCCTACCTTTTGTTATGGTCCAAATTATACTTAAGGTTTCCCTGCATAGCCCATGAAAGTTAAAGGCAGACGCTTTCCTGGGGATTCTTGGAAACAAATCGTTTTACTTAAAAACAAGTAGGCAGTGTGTTAATTTTAACATACCTTGGAAAGGTTAAGGTGTCAAGAGAAATCAGTCATTTAACGAAATCAAACCTTTGTAAATCTGCATGGTTAGAAGCACCCTGTATACTGGGTAACTGGAGAGAAACACACCAAATATGCATTTTTATTTTCTTATATTACTGATTGTGATGGCCAAAAGGAGGCATATAGCATGCAGTGGCATTTAAAGAGACCAATAGAAACTGTGATTATAAACGTCATGCTTAACATGTGTAGCGGTCTTGAAATGCATCCTAGGATTCAGAAAATAAAGAAATAATTGGGAGACTATTTCTGAGTCACATAAGGGCAGTCAAAAGAGTCTGTGTTTAGTGTGTAGTAGAAGGGCTAGTTTTTTTTCAAATAGGTAAAATTAGACTGTTCCACATATCTGATTATTTTTCCTGGCATCCTGACTTGTGGAGGCCTTAGCTTCCCTGAATGACTGATGCCAGTTCCAGCCAGACGTTACCACAAGGTAAACAGCTGCTGCAGGGCACCCAAAAGGACTCCGGTGACCACAGGCTCCACCCCTCTCTGGTGACAGTGCAGCCCCCTCAGCATTCCACAATGGATTAACAGATGGAGGAGAATTTCTCTGACACCGGCCTTGGTGAATCATTATTAAAGGGACCCAAAACTGGAAAAATCAATCTCCCCACTCCCACTTTCGAGTAGGAAATCTTGGCAAAAGCTCAGCCATTACAATGTTGTCAATACTTACATGGAAGGATCTGACTGGAGCGGTCCTCGCCTGCCATCATTTCCCTGGGAGCAGTCAGCTGAAAGTGGCTTGTATCGTGCATAATACTGGCCTTTCCCCCAGTTCATCATCTTCCTCTTAACCCTTTCTGCTAAGCCTCTGCCCAGAGTCCGTGATGCATCATCAAATGTTCCAGAATGAATGTGAGTGCAAATAAAATCGAACAGAACATCTGTATGGCACAATTAACATATAACCAAATACAGGCCCAGTTGTAAATGGTTCTGGTATCCTTTCCGATGGTGATGTGACACCTTTGGACTAGCACTGAAGATGATCTCCTTCAACTCATGTAATATATAAAAGCTGGCACCACTGGATTAGACCGTAAACTTTATTGTTACTTTTTTTTTTAAATAGGTTTCAATGAAGAACGCACTTTTTTTTACTTTAATGAGGAAGCTGAAAAGGCTGCAGAGGCACTTGAGGCTGCTGCGGCTAGGGAGCCGCTGGCACCCACCTTCCCCACACAAGGTGTAGAGGAATCAGCCGAAACAGGAGCATCCTCTGGATAGGGCTGTACACACCCCAGGTTCCAGCCACACCGTCAGTATTAGTAGACCGGGACGTCTGATGTATGGCGCCGTGTCTCCACATCGAGTTTCCTCTTCAACTTCACCAACTCCTGTGGTTTTTATTCTTCTAATTCCACTGTTTGGTAAATTACATATATGGTGTTCTTGCTTGAAATTCTATCTGTGAACTTTGTTTTGCAGCCACCACACTTCCATGCAGATTTTGTCTTTTAGCTCTCCTGTCCGTTTTTCAGGGGGCACGCTCCAGTAAAAGAAGCCAAGATTTTTGTTGTCAACTCCACACTCAATCAAACACCCCATCCTTTACCAATCAGAACATCTCTGAGAACAAAAACCTAATGACCCTAGAAGCTCTCTGTGCTGGGAACAGATGTCCATCTTCTGTGTTTACTCTACATGTCTGTGCTGAAAAGCACCGACACATTTTTGTAGCCAACCTCACGCAGAAGTGCGAGAGCGTCACTAGTTTTTGTAACAGCCAAACAGTTTCATCTCACTTTCCTACCCTTAATTCCCTTTTCCCTAATTCCCTCTTCTTTTTAAATTTTAGTTTTTCTTGTATTATTTTTATCTTTGTGAGTCTTCTTGGATCCTTTTTGGAGTAAGAATGAGTATAAATGAATAAGCACATCAGTAAATGAATAAATATTCTCAAGGTTATTAAATGCCCAGTTATTTATACTACAGCATTTAAAAAGCAATCCGCAAGTGATAAAAAAAATTAAAAAATGATGTGACATATCCGTTCCCTGAACTGCCTCTTTTGTAAGCCAGTGTTGGGATTATAGCAGAAGAGTAGCAGAAATAAACACAGTCAGACACAAACATAAATAGAATAATATCCAACCACTTTATATGATTTAGGGTCTCTGTTAAAAGGGTTACCATTTGCTTCTCCTAAAAATTATATAAATTGCTATGTACTGACCTGTAGGGGAGTTGGCTAAGTTTGGACTTCTGATAAATTCTATAATTTTTACTAAGCACACTGAAGATCTCTCCTTTTAAAGAGTATTAACAAGGGACCTTAATTTCCACATAACAAAGCCAACTCCTTATTCTCAACGCTATCATTTCAAACTGGCTCAGGCGCAGACTCTCTCAGAGCAAGGGGCAGGAGACTTGGTTGGTGTCACTCTAAGTTGGAAGAACTGTGTCACGGTTTGTGGCTGCTACTGCCTCTCCTGATGCTTAGCAACAAACAACGGGTAGGAGAAACTGGAAGGAAAATTCATTTTAAAAGCAGAACAAACATGACTGGGTGTTCACATACCCTTTGAAAAATACACACACACACACACACACACACACACACCCCCCATGAGAATATGCCTTGAAACAGTGATATAAATTATAATTAAATCACTAAAACCAGAGCAAAAATGTACAACGAATAACAAAATAACTAAATGAAATTAACCAAAGAGGTGATTTATTACCATAACCAGGTCAGCAGTGTAACTTCAACACAGAGCAGTTTACTCACCTATCCTCGAGACTGCGCTCACCAATGGATAATTAGCCTTTTAATTTAAATTTCTTAGGGTGCTAGGCACTCTTTCTATTTATGCTTTCTGTCTCTGTGTTATATAACATATAATATGAAATATATTTATATAATCGTATATATAATATTATCTGTGAAAGAAATGAAAGAAACAGTCATATCCCAAATTAAAAATGACTGTGGGATGGGGAAATGTCAGTGCTTGGAAGAGAAACTTCAAACCACTCCAATCCTTATGCAGGGACTGCTTGATGAGTCTTCGAAGGTCGGTGACAATAACAGATGGTTATCCATCCTCAACAACTTCTTGGTATATAAGCTAATGTTGTTCCACAACGCCACAACGAATATAACTAAACATGTAGAGTATGCATTTAGAAAAATAATCCAGACTTTAAGGCTGTGATACAGACTATCATTTACTGCACACACAACCAAAAACTGGTCTGGAAAGACAATGAACAATAATTATTACCTGTACTGCTCCATTTCCAGCAGTTTACCATTAACAAAGAAGGTAAGGAAGGAGCAATTATTGGTGAGTAGTTAGAGCCAAAGCGTCCATCCTCCTTACTCAGGGCAAACGAGGCTGGGTGCTAACAGCCCTGTGGATGCCTGCCAGTCAGAACTTCCATCGGACTGTTCAGCTGCTGAAACTACTGTGGGTGAGGACTTTGTTTGAGACCAGCTCAGATACAAAAGGGTGCAAGTGCTTTAATTAAAATCTTACCCTTCCAGAAAAAAAGAGACATTTTCTTTTTCTTTAATAGCAATGGCACAAAGTACCTCTACCTCTTTGCCTCACTCGGGCTATAAAATGCATCAACATTAGATTAAAAAAAAAAAAAAAATCCTCTATAGCACACAAGACTTAATTTATCTTTCCCAAACAGAAGGAAGCGTAAATAACCTTTTAGAAAAATCAAACACATAAAGATGCAGTCTCTTCCAACTTAAAATCGTGTAAGCAGGATGTATGTAAGTTTTGTGTGTACAATAGCTATGAACATACCTTGCAGATACAAGCATAGCTCTCCTCTGTCTTCCTATTTGGGATCCCTTGCTTTGATTGATAATGTCACCCCAGCCAGGGGCAAAACCCCCTCAAAACCAAAGTGAAAAGGGAAAAACTGTAGGCAGAAAAAGGTGAGTGGATATCTTACATCAAATACCTTTATGTCAAATTAATTTAAAATGCTTTGTAATCACAGTGAGAGAAAGTAAGCAGCTTAAAAAAGGCATGAACACTTTCAAAATACCTGTTACTATTGTTCCCTAGTCCAGCTAACACATTTCACCCAAAGGGCAACTTCTTACTCTAGAAAGGAGGGTGTTTTGATAACCATATTATTCTGTTGGTGGTGTGATGAAATATGGAAAGACAGTGTGTATATTTTTATATTCCTAAATGTATGTGAGTTGCATCCTGGCAGACAGATCACAGATGCAAGAAGGAAGACAGCACAAAGAAACATGAAAGAAAACTCAATAAACCATCTTAGGGACTATTAAAAATTACTAAAGTTGTCAAATCGTATACAATTTTCTATTAAAGAATGTCAAGCTTGGGGAACTAAACCACAAACGTTAATAATAACCACAACTGACCCTCAATGGGAAAAACTATTGGTGCCTTTTTAATAAGTTGTGGTGAGGAGAGTTCAAATTACAGGACATAACAGAATTTGTTTCATGAATTAATGCAGTCTGTAGTTAGCATATCATATAGCAGTATTATCCAGTTAAGGAAAGATACAGTTGAAAAACATTACATTTTAATTCCCCATGAGTAAAGTGATAAGTAACTGTCAAATCATCATTGGGAGAACATGGAAACAGTCAAGCATAACGAACTTACAGAAAGATAATTATCTCCAAATTTAGGAAGTACATGTACCTGCCTACCCACCTCTGCAAGCCTATGCTTACCACACGTGCAAAAATACAATACAATACAACTACTGCAATTATTCCTATCATTTGCTTTTGCGCTTAGGTGAAAAACACCTGACAGCTACATGCTGAGCCATGCTAACAAAACTAAACCTTTCACTTTCTTTAATAGTAAAATTACCATTACTGAATCATTGTCATAAAAAGTGCATTGAAGTACATTACCACTTATTTTAAATAAACACCAATTTTGAAACAATCAACTTTGAAAAGCTGCATAAGTTTTTTTTTTTTTTTTTAAATCCCTGATTACATTTCTATTTATTCACTGTGGTAGCCTGAAACATTGTATTTTTAGAGACTAACTACCGCTTAATTTCTTTTTTTAAAAAAACAACAACAAACCTGTGTAATACAGAACAGCAGTGAAGCAAGAAAAATGTGTGCTTGTCACTTATCTTCACTGTACTGTACCTAAGAACTCTGATAAAATATGGTACTTGTGCCACATTAGTATATGGGAAAACATAATTAACTCATAGCACAGAGCACACGGTTCACCAACATATGACTGTAAGATTCAAGGTTTGGACTTTCACCTCAGTTCTGTATTCAGGCTACCAGAGCATCCCCGCGGAGGTCCTTGGGAGGCTTTGGACACAATCAATAGCATGTATTTTTTCATCCAATAGTTAACAATGTATGTAATTAAGACTGACTATGGGACTACGAGTTTGATGCCAGCTCCTGAGTTTTAAGTTTATCTCAGTCTACCATAGAAAATAACTTGTATGCCACAGTACCCAACAATTTCCACGCTGCTGCAGTTTCTCCATCAAGAGGATCAGACCCAAACCAGAAGCTTCTTTGGGGGCTTTAAAAATCACATTAAGTTGATCAGTTTTGTTTAGCCAATTATTTACAAGCACCTCAAACTTTCAGCATTCCATTTGAGGAGTGGTATGCACATTTCCTAAAAAGGTATCAACATCTGCATTTTTTTTGTAACCTTCTAAAAGAAGTCATACTTAATACAGTAACTAGGAAAAAAAAATATCATCCTTATAAAGATCAAACAACCAAAACCTAATAGGAATGTGTTTTGCTAAACAGCTTACTTATGTTTATAGTTGCTACTTACAAAAGTAACACCAGAAAAAAACCTGTATTCTGAATACAGAGACCAGAGCAGAATGTCTACAGCCCATGCCAGTATACCAACACTCATCACGTGCTTATTGAAAAGGACTTCCAAACATGTCAGGCTTCTGGTTTCTGGATCAGCAGTTGGAGCTGTCTGTCTCTCTCACGTTTTCAATGCTGTCTTCTTTGTTTTCTGGTTGGACTTTGCCTTCATCCTCCTTGTGTTGAGTTGGATCTTTTTCAGCAACCTGGTCTTTGGTTTGGGGTTCATGTGTAGAAACAGGATCTAAAACTACAACTGGTTCGACTTGTTTTTCACCGTCAATGTACTTTTTCCTGTATCCAAGGCTACTGGGAGGCCTATGAGATGAAGAGTTAGACAAAAAAAGTAAAAAGCAGAGAGAAAATAGTTGTCTCTGATATTCTGGATTCAGATCAACATACAACCCAAAACGTTCTAAGTCTAGTCAACATGCATATAGTAGTCTTTGAGATGCCAGCCATTTAAAAGAAAAAGTGAAGCTATCGGATTACACAGCTGATACTAGGAGCACAAGGCCAGAAGAAAGAAGGCAGAGAAAAAGCGATTAACTACAGAAGTGTTAAAAAGCCAAATGCACCTACCTGCTCAATTGCATTCTCTTCTCAGGAAGCGTAAAGCTCATGGACAAACTGTGAACCTCTCACGGCCTGCTGCCCAGACTCCCACCCGCCCTCACTTAGCTGGATGGAGCCAGTTAACTCCCTTCCCTCCTGCGTGTCCCTGGGTATGGCTGGTTGCAAGGTAGCCCTGAGGAGCCTGCATGGACAAGGGGAGTAATCACCCCTCATCACTGATGGAAAGGTGAGAGGCATGCCGGCTGCTGCTATTACCAACTAGAGGAGACCTGGTCAGACTTCAGGAGGGGGTGGCGGTAGGACCAAGGGCAGAGAGAGAGTCACAGTAGAAGCTAAAATGCTAAGTTACCATTAATGTTTCTAAAAGGAGAATCAGGTTTCTTGAGAAATTTCTTATGGAATTTCAGACGCGGTTTTCCACAGACTCCTCCTCTCATCTCTTCTGCTGCAAGAAGCTATGGCTCCTCAGGCTGAATGGGTGTGGATTTCCTTATGGAAACAGTTATCTCTGAAATACCCAAAGGTTCAGGCTGCTGAGCTGCTGCCTGAAGATGGAGGCAGCTGCAGTGGGCAGGACTGG